CTCGTGTCTCGACGCGTGGTTTGCTCTCGACGATGTTCGCAACGACGTCTTTCCCAAAAGAAGCAGGACCCCTCGTATCTATCTCAACAGACTGTGCGAAATCCGCGAGCTCTTCCGCTTGACCAATCGAGACGCCTGGCATCATACTTCGCCATGAGTACCCTGCGCAGCTCACTCGACGCATAGTGGACGATGTTGTCAAGCACTTGCGCGTCAGCCCCTCCACACGCATCGCTCACTGCCACCAAGTACAGGTAGTGCTCGGGCCAGGTCCTCTTGGCGTCTTTCTTCGCCGTGAACAGTCTCATTGACTGTGACGCAGTGATCGTCGTCTTGAACGACTGATGTAGTCGCTCCATAACATGGTCCAGTGTAGGGACTGACGCCACCAAGTCTCGACCTGCTTGTTGTAGTACCACTCGGCCGTGCCACTCAAGTAGTGACCAAGCAGGTCAGTCTTCGCGTCTTTTAACCAGTCATAACCACACGCTGCTTGCGCGTACTGAATCTGACGCATGAACGTCCGACCCCAATCCAGAAACCAGGCGCCCAGACCTCGGTACAGCTATGTTCCGTCAAACTTGCGAATCGTGAGCCTACGCTGCCGCTCATCTGATACACGCATCGCTTGCTGTGCTACCAGCTCCATTCGTCGCGCGTAGTCCTGAGCCGCTGCGAACTGTGGCAGGCGGAACTGGGTTTGCTTTGGCACTTCGCCGCGCTGAACGCCCCATTCCGACCGTGCAGGTTGTATTCTTGCCTCATGCGTACGCTGCATGTATGTGCGGTCTTGGACATCCCTTTTCTGCACGGGAGAATCACCTAGCGCGCCGATGTGCATCGGAGCACCCCCTCGGCCGTTGCCAAGGGCGGAATGGAACATGCCAGACTCAATTGCTCCGAGCATACGCTCATCATCGTCTCGCTTCACTTGCGAGGCCTCCATCTGCGTCATCCGTGCGTGGAGGTCGAGGAACGTGGCGAGAATCCTTGTGTTGACGTCGTCGCTCTA